CTCCCCCGAGATTGGGAGCTCCGGGATCGAGATGCTGGAGACTGACACCTTCAAGCTGCACTGCTTCCAGACACTGACAGGTACCGTCCAGCCCCGGGCGCCCGGTGCCACTCGGCTCTGCTGGGGCTGTCACGGAGCTCAGCCTCCCTCACACTCTTGTCACTGTGGCTCCAGGGATCAAATTCGTGGTTCTCGCTGACCCGAGGCAGGCGGGAATAGACTCCCTTCTCCGCAAGATCTACGAGATTTACTCTGACTTTGCACTGAAGAACCCTTTCTACTCACTGGAGATGCCAATCAGGTAAGGAACAGCCTGTGGCTGCTGGCCAGTATCAAGCCCGAGGGAAGGGGGACGCGGCCCGCTGCTGCAGGGACGGGACACTGACCTGGGCTTTCTCCAGTACTCCTCTGTGCGAGGAGCTTTTCCAGGGAGCTTTTCCGTGGTACGGGCCCCGCGGTCCCAACATGACATTGGAGCCCTCGCAAGAAGCTTTAACCCTAACTGCTGGCCAAGCCAAAACTTAACAGCAGGCAGGTTTGCTGTTCTGTAGCTTACAGAATCTCTCCTTGAAGGATGCAGAGGCAAAGGATGCGAAGACCTTGTTTTTGTTAGACCGTTCTGTAGGTAAAGTCACCCCCTTCCGTGTTTCTGACCATTTCAGATGCGAACTGTTTGACCAGAACTTGAAGCTTGCGCTGGAGGTGGCCGAGAAGGCTGGACCCTTTGGGCCAGGATCGTAGGGAGACGCATGGACTCCTTTCTCTGAAGGGCAGGGCCTCTCCCAGAGCTCTCTCTGCAGCAGCAGAGGCTGTGTATCCCCAAAAAACACTTCATTACATCCCGAGATACTCTTTTATCCCCTTTGTTGTGAAATTTACCTTGAACAGCCTTGGGTAGAGTTTTGTTCTGTTCCTGTCTGTTCTGCCCTTGAGGGAGGAGAGAGAGCTACGGTGTGGCTCTAGGGGCCTGGCTGGGGGAGATGGTTGTTTTCCTTTCCTAATTGTACATATGTATTGCTCCTGTGTAGCTCTAATTTATGGTTTCGCAGAGGGTTTCTACGCAGAAATAATAAAGTTGGTTAAAGAGGTGGATGGCTGCTTGCTTTCTGTCAGCAGGGTAAACTGGGGCTACCGGCGCCTCAGGTGGGTAGGTGCTTCTGGGTGCCTCTGCCTGCCCCACTCCGTAAGACAACCAGAGCCCTTCTGACACTGCTCCATTTTTATTTCACAGACAGTAGAAGGTCATATAATTAAGTACAAAATGTAATTTGCTTCCATTGCTTTAATTAAGGCTGGCTACCTACTCTTGCAACCAAGCTGTTTAGCAAAGTACCTGCATGCAGGTTCTTCACAAGCAGACCTTGCCTCTTCCAGGACCCTAAAGCATAAATCCTTCATGGGAAAAAAAAAAAAAAAAAAGAGTATCCAACAATCTCTCTGTTGAAAACCTGAGTCAATAATCGTTGCCAAGAGTGCTGGGCCCACGCGCCCCAGGCCGCTGGCCGGTAGCAGGGCTCCAGCTCTCCACGGCAGCCCGACCTTCTCCCCCCAGCCGTGAGAGGTGCAGCTCTTGGCCAAAGACACCTGAGACTGTACTAAAAAATGCAAGCCCGTGCTAGAAACACGGGTTTTCAGGACGCTCAACTACAGCAGTTTGGGGCCGGCAATGGCCACAATATCTGCTGTGGGGTCAGGCTCTCTACGAGCTGCCTGGAAGCAGCTGCCTCCCTTGCAAATAATTAACCCCGCACGCAGAAACCGTGCTGGGCAGGATCCACTCCACAGAAAGAGCTTCTCTAAATGCTCTCCCCCGACATGCCAGGAATTTCTTGGACGCGTGCCTCTTTCCGAGTGCTGTGGAGAGCCCTGCCGCAGCGCCGCCTCGGCCTTCCGCTCACGGGAGCAGAACGCCTCACTCGCGCCCAGCTGATCCCAGGTAGAGCTGAAGCTGTGCTGCACTCACATCGGCAGCGTGTGGGGCTGAGCTGTAATCATCACCACCACTGCTCGGTGCCGGGGGATTGCTCCAGGGCCCCGAGCGTGCAGGGAGCTTGCACCTAAGCAAACCGAGGCGGGCTCAGCACCTGACACAGCCAGGCCGGGCTGACAGGGAATGGCCGAGATGAACGGAAAGGACAAAACCACGTGTGGCACCACCCTTCTAGTGGAGGGAGCTCGGGCTGCGAAGCTTCACCAACAGTGCTGTCGGGAGGAGGTACAGTAAAATCATCGCAAATGTAAACTAGCTGAATTATCACATCTCAAGGGAAAAAGTGATCAGTAGCAAGAACCTCGCACGTGACAGTGGACGAGAAACGGAGAGATTTTTATCTAGGTTGTGTCGATCAGAAACTCACTCCTAGGGCAGGTAAAGGAAGCCGAGAGCCGTCGGCGCGGCAGCCCCGTCCCACCGAGCCGCCCGCCCTCAGTCGGCCTTCCTGGGGACACGGCCCATCTTGGTGCGGATGTTCCGCAGGAGGAAGAAAGCCACCGTGCTGCCGGTGCAGGTGATCTCAGCTACCCAGAAGGCCGTGGCCCAGCTGTAGTACTTGGCAATGGTACTGAAGGGCAGTCCAGCCAGAAAACCCCCAACTGTGAAGAAAAACAAACAGAAAACTAGCAAGGCTTACATGTCTCAATTTTACCTGTCAGCACATGGCTTTGCACGTATAAAAATTCCCGAGGCCTGGTCTGAGCTTTATGCGCAAGGCAAAAACTTGCCAGGTACAGCAGGAAGCACTCCTGATGCTTCCACCTCTATTATCTCTGCTGCTTAGGTGGCTTCCCGTGATCAGTAACTTGGCACTCGGGGGCTAGATGACGCTTCCTCAAGAACACACAGGGGTTTTGTTTGGTTGTCAGGGAAAGGGGCATTACTCACCATTGGCCATGAGGGCCACTATGGCATGGGAAGTGCCACACAGGTTGGCAGGGGCACTTTCGTTGGCTATGACCCCAAACAGGGCGATCGGTCCATATGAGGAAAACCCAAACACGGCTCCCAGAGTCAGGATCCACAGCTGTTGAAACAAGTTAAGATCAGAAACAGGATCTGTGCATCTATCTTACCGCTGTCAGTCAGCAGCTGCTGACAAATCTCAGATCCTCCATGTGGGATAAGAGGGTTTTGACATTTTTGGGCTGACACCAGCTCCCTGGCCTGCAGACAGGCCCCGCGTACACAGACCCAGCCGCACCGTGCTGCTGCCTGGCACCAGCTCTTCTCTCTTCTACGGCTCTGCTACCTGTGCCGTGGGCCAGAGAGATGGGCAATGAGCCCACGAAATCGCAGGACAGCACTGTGAATTTGGCCGCTTTTAAGAGCGATCCTGCAGATGCTAACTCAGAGTTTTTCTCATTTTAGGTGCCAGTGACTGATCAGAGCACCTTTATTTGTGAAAAGCCACTATCTGATAACCTCCCCGTTACTAAACAAACCCAAAAAACAAACCCCAAAACACCCAACAGTTTGAACCTCAGTGTTGGCTTGTACTCTAGGAAAACCACCCAGCTCAGAACTTATCAGTCACTTGTGAAAGGACAATAAAGGATGAGTAACTTGGCCCCGTCAAGAGCACAGCATGCTTTTTGAACCGTAAAGAAGCACGTCAAGATGCCCAGCAGGAAGTAAGTGCCATCTCATTTTTGAGATGGGGAAACAAAGACAAAGAGTTAGAAAAACAGCTGCCAAAGTTAAGCAGAAAGGCATCCAGCAGAGCAGAACCATTCCTCCTCACTCACAAGGTCCCTGAACTGGCTACATTTTACCTGATGAACAAAGACCCTAAGAACCTTCTATTTAAGAACTGAAAAAGTTCTATATTCAGACTTTTGAAAGTCAGGTAGTGTAATCAAACAATTATAAGAAAAGATTTTTTACAAAACTTACAGTAATATCTTCTCAATGCCCTGGTTCTAAGTTCTGTAGTGCTAACCAACCTCCCAGGACAGGGAAAAGGCAGATCAGTGAAAGCAGAGACAGGCAGAGGGAGAAAAAATGCAAGGCAGAAACCTCGTGTTCTTTTAGGCCTGTGAGATCAGCTAGAGGTTGCAAGGCTACAGTCCAGAAGTGATTTTCCTGAAGAAGGAAAAAAAATGGAGGAGAAAAGAGGTTTCATTTATCTAGCAACGATGAGGGCAGAGGCAAGTCACGTCTACGCGACAGTAACGCAGGCCACCCGAACCAGCGCAGGCAGCTGAAGCTATCCAAACCAGACCTCAGAAGGGCAAGCAACACTCATGCTTCCTCTAGCTCCTCACCGTTCAAGGGCTCTCCCAACAACTTTCAGTCAGCTGCTTGAACAGGGATTACCTTGGGAGAATCGCCCGTGACTGTGACCCGGAAGAGAAACATGGAGATGCACATAGCAGCCATCATGGAAAGCAGCAGCGTGTGCCGAGGGTTCCCGTAGCTTGACAGACCTGCCTGTGACACAGGAAGGAAACCGAGGGTCAGAAACTGGAAAGACTCTAGTAACTAATGCCATCCACATAGCACGGTCAGCACAGCTTCCAGGAAGACCTCTCAGTTTGGTTTAAGGGCTGCCCACAGTCAAACCGTGCAAAATGAGCAGCTCTCAGTGGAGAATGATCTTTCTCTGTCATCAACTGCACCCTACTTCCACGCTGAATCTGGCTTCAGATCCCAGCACTGGATTTTAACGTGTGTTCTCTTCAGCCAGAAGACAACTGTAAACAACCAGACCTCTTTCAACGCAGAGCACAGTGAAGCAAACAAATCAAACACATCAACAGTCTTAAACCTCATGGGTGCCCCACAGTCCCTAACATCGGCACCCACGGGTCCCAGCGCCTGCTGGGGTGTTCAGCGGCTGCTCTCATGCATGTGGCAGAACTAGGTGCTGGTGCTTCAGAGCAACACAAACAAGGGGAGCATTCTGCTCTGCTACTGCTGCCAGTATTAGAGGGGCCTGGGGAGCAGGCATGTGTGTGGAAATCGTCTTTAAGCACTCACAAGGGAAGCCAGAGGAAACTGTTAACATTTTTGAAGCAGCTCACACTGCCACTGTGTTCAATACCCAGCACATTTGAGGGCCCAGATGACTTACTCTCGCTACTGCTCTGTCAGAAAGGTATCCGGCAGCAATGCTTCCCACCAGGCCCCCGATCTCCAAGGCACTCATGTAGGAACTACCTAGAATGCAGGGGAAGCAAAGAACAGGCCATCAGATTTGGTCCTGATGCTTTAGACCAAGCTCAGCTCCTGTCAGCCCACTACGAGCTCAGAGCTGTGCTGCAAGACAAGACACTCCACAGCACATCCTTGTCCAGGAATGCACACCTGCCAGCCCCAGGTGGGCCCCAGCACTGAGTTATTTCAATAACTGTGCATATCTAAGCAGACAGTTACGAGGTAGGGAAGCCTGTCCCTCGGACAGAGGTGCCTGTGTCCTCTTCCAGCACCCAACTGAGCTCTGGAGATACTGCCTGGACTGCAGCCACAAAGCTTAGTAACGCAGCTTTACATCTTACCCACAAGCATGGATTGTCCCCTCTCCTGGATCAGGAAGAGCTGTCCCCAGTCTGTACAGCATGTTTTCACTCCAAACACGACAAGGTAGCCTGTTGAGAGCACCCAGAGGTACGGTGAGAGTAGCAACTCCGTCAAAGTGCTGTTGTCACTGGAGGGATCTGTGGGGAAGATCAGGAGGAACGTTACTGGTGCTGGAGTGCAGCTGCCGAACCACACCCACTCAGCGGCATGACAGACAAATCTGGGCTCGAGCAGGATTCATGCACAGGGGCATTTACAGAGCGAGATATTCACAGCTACTGGTAGTGAATAGCTTTACCTCCCCCGCGTTCTAGGCTTGCTGTGATTTCAGAATCTTTTCTGTCAGTTTATTCCACACCCATTAAAGATTTCAAAAGAATAATCAAAACACTACTCCCAGTAGTTTTCACTATTGCAGTTGCCAATAAACCTTTCACAAAAGTTGTCAGAAAAATTATCATCCTCTCCAAATTGTGTGCGAACGCTGAAGCGCTGCCTGAGAAAGCCACTACATAGACCCAGAGAAAGCTGCTGACTTTCAGGAGCTCCCTTCACTCAGCAGTCTGAACAAACATTTACTAAGCAGATGTCCTAGGTGAGGGCAGAAACCACTGAGCAGAGTCCACTGCAAGCCAGGGGTCAAAAGAGCCCATGTCAGGGCGAGGGGAAAACCACCCATCCTCTGCTAATGCAAAGGAGAGGAAATGGAGTCCCGAGAAAACTGTGGCACTGCTAACAGGAAGACATTGCACAGAGTGGGAGATGGAGCAGCCAGTCGTGAGCACTCTGGTGATACACTGGTGGCTGTTGGCAGGCCAAGCAGCAGGACCAACTGGCAGTCAGGCTCTTCCTCTGCTTTGCTGCATCTTGCCATGACAGTCTCAGAAGCCCCTGGGGCTTGGTTTACAGAATTTAACTTCTACAAAGCAGCTTGATGTTTACCAGAAGAAAGCTGCTGAAAACAACCCCTCACTTACACCTGCCCGTCAAGTGGCGACGTCAGGCTGTGGGAAGGACAGAGGTCTCAGCACCCCACGGGCGAAATGCCTGTGCCAGGACACCGACAGAAGGCACTGGGCCTTCTCCCCCGGCCACCCGCTCACAACGCTCACCTTTCTTCCCTTTCTTGGGTCCTGGTTCAACGTTGGGCAGCCCAACATCCGACGGCTCGTTTTTAATCAGGACAAGGCAGACGAAAGAGACCACCACGCAGATGAAGCCAGAGAAGGACAGAGTCACACGCCAGTCATAGTGCAGAGACACAAGAGCAGCAACGATGGGGCCTAAGCCTCCAGCCAAGTTCATGCTTGTAGAGAGGATTGCCCACCAAGTCCCAAACTGGGAAGGCTCAAACCACTGTGCAACAACAAGAAAAATGGCATGAGGTCTGAGAAAGAGAGCGAAACTGCACCTGGAAAACCTCAGTCAAGGCCCATGCTATGCGTTTGGGCAATCCAGGCACAGACCTACAAAAGCAGGTCCAGGGAGCAGCCAGCTCTTTGCCACCTTGGTTGGCCACGCAGGGAGCTCCAACGTTCCGTCGGTGTCAGACGTAGGAGCCTGACAGGTGCTTGCACTGTGCGCCAGCTCCCAGTTATTTCTATGTACAGACTGTGAAACTGAGACGTGGGCTGCAAGAGGCAGATTTAAGAGCGCACAGTTGTGTGTGCTCCCTCACTAGGAGCGGCGTCCTCCTGGAGAGGTCTGCTGGCACTGCCCCGCAAAGGGACGTGCAGAGAGTCACGGGGTGGCTCCAGGAGTCGCCGCTGCCGCGAGCATGGAGCACACCCGGCTCTGCACCGCACGGCGCGCTGAGAGCCAGGACCGCTCAGCAGGGAAGTGTCTGAGAGCTGCGTTCCCAAACGTCTGCAGGAAACTCTGTGCCTGTTTTTCCCCGTTATTTGGACCCTTCCTTTCTAAGCAGACAGCCACCCCAGATGGGCCTTTTCTGGCCAGCTAGATAAGGCTAGATGCCTTGCAGAAGGGCAGCACAGTTGTTTGTCTTCCCTCTATCTCGCAGTACACGTGTTCCTGGATTTTATGTCTTGAGAGAGAGGAGAGTACACAGCTGACCTCGTTCCGCCATCCCAAGAAAGAAATCAATTCACTCAATTTCGATTGCCACAAAGCCCAAACGCAGGCAGCTCCGAGGCCCCACTCACGCCGTTTCTCCACGTTACCTGGTTTTCTACCTGAGCAGCCTGCGACTGCCAACTGCTGAGCTCCCTGAGCTGCAAATGGAAGGAATTCTGCTCATCGCCCCTTGCCCAGCGGCAAACTGCCACATTGGCAAAGAGACGAGCAGACCTCCATCCTCACGTTTAAAATACAGGATTACCAATGAGTAACAGCCTCCAGCAAAGGAGGTCTGCTGCCAGGAGATGTTCTGTACCAAATTAAGCTAGAATTGAGGGATACAGACACGAGCGCTAGCAGACTTTCTGCATCTTTGGTAGAATAAGCAGAAGCTCGTGCACAGGAGCTCGGTCCGCAGGCAGACCAAGCATGGCTAGGGGTTCCGACCTCCTTGGCTTGAAGGAGGTGGGAAGAGACGCAAAGTTCCTCTGGAGTTGGAGCAGGCGTTCCTGCAAAGTGCTCTGCACAGACCTGCTGCTGGGCCAGCTCCGAGGCCAAGGCAGACGCCTTCCCACCACCGCCTTTTCCAGCCAACGCCTACCTTTCGCAGAATCTTCCCGCACGGCGGCCAGCCCAGCCCCTGCGCCAGGCCGTTGAGGAACCAGAGCCCCGCGAAGGCCGTGACGGTGGAGCTCCAGGAGAAGACCACGTTGACCAGCCCCACCATCAGCAGACCGGAGGAGAAGAGCCAGCGCGCGCTCATCTGGTCGGAGAGGACGCCGCTGATGAACTTGCTGACGGCGTAGGCAGCGGACTGGCTGCTGGTGATGAGACCTGCGGCGGGACAGAGCCCGGGA